TGTTGCTAACGGTGATGGTAGGAAAAACGACACCCAAATCCAAGAATGGTCTTTTGATTGCTTTATCTGTATTGTTGTTGTTGCTGCTGCTTAAGTCAACAACATCCACTCCAGTTCTCAACCATTCACCTGTGTTGGATTTAGAAGAGGACCCAACCTCTCGACGAGCATCCAAATCTTGGTATGCGTTCACAAGCATCCAGCAATGAAAATGTATGGAACCTCAATTTTAGGAGATGCAGATATGTGGGTATAATCAAGAATTCTCACTTGGCTGAAAACATGTTTCTGCTTCTCGGATTAATAGTAGCAGATCAAAGGGTTCAGAAGACATTGTTGGAAAAAACATTTTTTTTTTAGTAGTGAGCAGATTCATTGTAAACTGAGATTACATGTACTTGTACTCTTTCTTATTTGTAATAAGTTTCATCATTACTAGAAAGAATCCTGGTTTTGTTGAATTCTTCATTAGTTTCCATAGTTTTAATTCAAATGAACATGTATATAAATTTTTTCCTAATTTTTCTTTCGAAAATTAAATTTATTTTTTTGTAATAAATTATTGGAAAATCTTTTTAACACCAGACATAAACAATAGTATGAGTATTATTTTTCTCACTACGCAAGATCGGTAAAGAATTGTCTACGAGTGTGAAATACATACAATTATGCTATTTTTATAACTACTAGATGATCACCTGCGTGTACAAGCAGGTTTTTTGTTCTAGTATATATTTTTAAAATTTTACAAGTAAATGTTTTTCTTTTATCATTTCCTATACGTAAAAAATTTTGGTAAAACGATTGTGTCATTTTAAATATTAAACTAGGTATTTAGCCCGCGCTTTACGCGGGCGAAAAGTTTCATAAACATAAAACAAAATTTTATGTTAGAAACGAAAGAGAATTTAAATAACCACTTGAGACATACCTAATTGAAATAAAATTAATTAAAAAAAGTAAACATCATCCAAAATTAAAAATTTAAAATGCCATAAAATAATGCTACTTTAATAGTTATATCGTTTGTATTTCACTATATCATGTTGTAATTTCTTTTTGACATCATAACATGTTATAAAATAATGGAAAAGTGTGAAAATGAGAAAATAACCGAAATGTAATAGTATAGAATCCAAACCAGTAAACGAGGAGTTGTCATCCATTTTTTTGTTGCTGTTAATTTCGGAGAGTTATCATCATTCCTTAACATAATGCCATATTTTTCTTATTTTTTCGAGCTCAAACATATTTCATATAAATTCGTTTCTCCTTCTCAACCAAAGAGTACGTACAATATAATCAAGAATGCATAATGAACTTCATATGAAGAGGTTTTATTGGCTGTAAGATCAACACATTAGTTTGCTCGTCTTCCTTGGAAAGTGATGGTTGGTCGAATTAATATTTTTCTTGTCTTGTTGATTTCTCAGGTATAGACTATAAACCTTGACCATTCTCGAGGTTCAGCTTATACCGCTTTCTCCAATATCTTTGAATCACTCTCGGAAATTACCTCTTCATAGCCAAGATTATCCAAACATATCATGATCCAAAGAAGAGTTGTAGCTTCTGCCTCCATACTGTTACAACAAATTTTTCGAGAAATTTTGAGCTCAGCCTAGAAATTAAAATGAATGACAAACAAAAAAAGATATCGTGAACTTTTGCAATAAGAATTATGAAATGTAGAATGAAATTTTGGAAGAGACTCCTATCGTTCTTTGTAAAACAAATAGAACATTGGTTGATACCACACAAAATAAATCAAATGTAAAACAAAAATCAAAAATATGTTAGTTTGATCACACACGATCAAACTATTAAACCCTGAGTTTTTGTGTGGTCCAAACATGTCTTGTAGTGTGATAGATATTTAATTTCTTCTTCCTTTTTACTTAGGGCAATTTTCATCTCTATTGTTTGTAACTTACCAAATATGTATTATCTATCACAATAAATGGGTCTGGTTTAGAAAATGGAATCCACATTAATTCTTCACTGAATGCGATTGGTTTAATTGAGCAACCAAACAAACTTCGAAAATACTCAAATATATTAAGACTTCGGCATGTGGGCATGCAAGAACAGACAATGAGACTCCTATGATAAGAGAAGTAGAAAGAACATTTATCTTGCCTTGCAGATATCGTAGAGAGAAGGAAAGACAGAACAGCGAACGAGCAGAGAAAGGTTTATGTTTTGTCAAAATATTCTTCATCTGCATCATTTTTGCAACAGATTAATGCCATATGAGCAAAACGGAGAGAGAGAGAATACAAAATGATTGCGTTTAAGGAAAACTCTAAAACGGTAAGACTTTGGCATGTGAACTAGAAAATGGTACAGACAATGAGTTTCCTATGATAAGAGAAGGGGAGTAACAAGAACATTGATTCGAGATATTACCCCAAGCTAAAGCAAGACAAAAATGCCATAGGAGCAAAACAGAGAGAGAGAAAGAACAGACAATAAGACTTATATGATAAGAGATGTAGAAAGAACATTTGGTTCTTTTCTGGGACTAATGTAACAAGCCACGTATGTCTTCATCATCCTCGTAATTACCAAGATGACAATGCTGATGACTATCGGTTCACCTTTGGAGCTACGTTGTAGCTGGCTGTGTAAGCCCACCAAGCACAGTTCATGACGGTAAAAGAACACGTCGACCGATCTCAACCCCAGGATAAATACTTAGTGGGTTCCATCCCTTCGGGTTGAGATCAGCGACGTCTTATTTTACCGTCATGAAACTGTTCTTGGTGGGCTTACACAGGAGATGAACCAATAGCCACCAGCATTATCGTCTCAGGTAATTACGAGGATGATGAAGACACATGGAGATGTTCTGGTAGATCACGGTGGTCAAGATAAGCTCCACAGGCAGATTCAACATCAGAAGCTCTAGAAAGTGGGAATCTAGCAATAGAGAGGAGTATGTACCATGATATTGAGGTACGGGTGGTTAGAGGGTTTAAGTATGAAAACAGTGTTAGCTCTAAAGTTTATGTTTATGATGGTTTATATAAGATTTTAGATTGCTGACCTTATGTGGGAAAGTTTGGTTTCGGAGTGGGAAACTGGGATTACATGTAATTGTACAAGAAGCATATCTATATTGACCAGAAAGTGAAGAACATACAAAGTCACAATGAAGTAGAGGGGTTAACCAGATAGGGGAATAAATACAACTAGAATAGAAAACATTGTTGGAAAAGTTTTGTTTTTGCTAAGTAGGGAGCAGGTTCATTGTAAGCTGGGATCACATATATTTGTACTCTTTCTTATTTGTAATAAGTTTCATCATTACTAGAAAGAATCCTGATTTTGTTGAATTATTCATTAGTTTCTATAGTTTTAGCTCGAGTGAACAATGTATATACAGATTTTTTTTCCTAATTTTTCTTTCGTAATAGTAAGTTTATCTTTTATAATAGATTATTGGAAAATCTCTTCAACACCAAACATAGAAAAAATATGAGTATTACTTTTTTCACCACGCAAGATCGGTAAAGAATCGTCTAGGAATGGAAATACATATATGCTTTTTTTTTTATAACTATTTTCTTTTCTTTCTGTTTTGAGAAATTTTCAAACCTTTTTTCCAATTCAGAAATGGATTTAACTTCTTTTTTCTTGCAAAAATCTGCAAATGCTATTAGTTGTTACTAAAATTAGGAAACGTTTTATCCCCAATAACCTCCACTTAGAATATATATGTTATTTTCTTTATTTTGAATAGTAGATGCGAACAGTAAAGTGGACGATGGAGTTTTGTAGTTTTTGTTTCATTTGTTTTATTTTAAATTGTTTAAGAAAAGTTATTTCTATAATATAATGTTGATTAAAAATAAAATATGCCAAATACAATGACAAATAAACACTTTTTTCATAGATCACTGCACCATCTTAACCAACTAATATTTATACTAAATGGCCCCTAAAATAATTGAAATTCTACATCCCCAAGCAAAAGCTTGATGGGCTTATCTACCAAGAACAAAGCATCTTGGTTTCGAAGTCGTTTATACGGAGCAGCTTGAAATGGAAAGCCTCCACTCATCTGTCGCCTAACGTGCTCTGGTACTAGCCTGTTTATAAGCTCTGGGGAAGCTCCAGATAATTGTTTGAACATTCAAACAGAGAGAAAGGGATACCAGATTAATTACCTGGTATCTCCATTGTTTAAAAATCACTCAAAAACTAAAGTCTCTCTTAATCACTCTCTCAACTCATAATGTCTACCACAAATTTTGCAACTCTTATATAGAGAATGGAATAGATAACTCCTAATTTCAATAGAGAAACAAATTTCCTTTTTAGATAACTCCTAAATTTCCTTTTCTAATCCTAACCTTCTAGAAAACACACTTTGATTAGGATTAGGAAAGTTGCACTTCAAGTTTCTTTCAAGCTTATTCCAACATTCTCCCCCTTAAGCTTGAAATCCTTTTGTGACACACCTAGAACTCCAATGAGATATCTCATCTCCTTGAACTTGTTTCTTCCTAGTGCCTTGGTTAAGATATCAGCCTTTTGCTCATTGCAATCCCATGGCTCTTCGTTTATAAGTAGCAATAGGTGTTCACTATCAATCTTGGCTAAAGTGACAAAGTCATCGAGATAACTCGGGCTTACTCTTGACCTTGTTGATCTCCTTAGTCCTTGTTCAACTTCTTCTCCTTGATATATCATCTCTGTCTCGGGTTTGGGAACTTGTATTTCATGCTCAGTGACCTCTTCTTCGGAACTCTCTTCCTCCTTTTCCTCTGTTTCTTCTTCGAGATCATGGTCATCTCCCCTTGAGTTATTATAATTGTGTTCTCCAAAACTGATTATAGAAATTCCAGTGTTGTTACTGATTTCCTTCTCACCCCACTTCCAGCCTTTGCTTTCATCAAAGATCACATCCCTGCTCACAACTATTTTCTTGGTTTTGATCCTGGTTTCGTTCCTAAGTGAACAAGTACTCGTGATCTATCATCCAGCTTCTTCAAGTGTTGAGCCTCTGTCTTTGCAAAACTGATGCATCCGAATACTCTTAGATGCAACATCATCAATGACTTACATATATATAGTGGTTTGCACAACTTTGCTAAGCCACTTTCCTTTTCCTATTAAAACTAGATATCTCCTAATCTAATAAGAAAATAACCATAATCCTAGAGATCGATTTAGCTCTGATACCTGTGTGAG